TGCAGCAGCAGCAGCAGCAGCAGCAGCAAATTCTTTCCTGACTGTACGTTTTATAGAAGGGCAGATCCTCCCCTTTGCATTTCGTTTCCCGCTGCAGCAGCTTCCTGCTGCTGCTGCTCAGCCGCTGCTGCTGCTGCTGCTTCATGCTCCCTTGCTGCTGCTGCCGCTGCAGCAGCAGCAACAGCAGCAGCAGCACGGGGCGAAACAGAAGGCAGCCCTGCAGCAAACTATCGATAGCCTCAAGCTGGGCGATGCCGCAGCAGCAACAGCAGCAGCAGCAGCTGCTGCTCTTGCGCCTAACAGCAACTTGCCCGCAGCAGCAAGTACAGCCACAGCAGCAGCAACAGCAACAACAACAGCAGCAGCAGCAGAAGCAGCAGAGCCTGAGCTTCGTTGTATACCGCAGCCACAGTGGGCAGACAGCGCATCAGCAGCAATTGCTGCTGCACAACGTTTGCTGCTCCCAGAAATCAGCAGCAGCAGCAGCAAGAGCAGCAGCAACAACAGCAAGTGCAGCAGCAGCAGCAGCAGCGTGCTGCATTCTTCAATTATTTCTCCTACGAAGACGACAAAGCGCGGCATTTCTTCAGGTGCAGCAACAGCAGCAGCAGCAGCAGTAGCAGCAGCAGCAGCAGCAGCAGTAGCAGCAGCAGCAGCAAACCAAGCAGTTACATTAGATAGAAGCAGCGCTGCAAGCAGCAGCAGCAGCAGCAGCAGCATCGTATCCTCTATTCTTTTGGCTAATTTTAGGGTTTTGCTGCTGATGCTGTTTGCTGCTGCTCCTGTCTAATGCTGCTGCTGCTGTTTGCTGCTGCTACTGTTTGCTGCAGTTCGTTGCATCTCTGCAGTTCGTGTCGTCAAGCCCAAGGCGCAGGTGCGTGCTGCTGCTGCTGTTGCTGCTGCTGCTGCTGCTGCTGCTGCTGCAGTTGCTGCTCTCTGTATGCATTAGAATTACCGCAACTAATGATTAATTGCTTGCTGCTTCTTTTGTTGCTGCTGCTGTTTGCTGCTGCTGCTGCTGCTGCTGCTGCAGACGCTGCAGCTGGCCCCAGCAGCAGAGTCGCCCTCCTTATCACCTCGAAGGCAAAACGAATGAAGACGTCACAGCAGCAGCTGCTGCTGCTGTTGCAGCAGCAGCTGCAGCTGTTGCTGCTGCTGCTTTAACAGCAGCAGCAACATTAGCACCAGCATCGAAAGCAGGTATAGAAGCAGCTAGCGCAGCAGCAGCAGCTGCTGCTGCTGCTGCTGTTGTTGCTGCTGCAGTAGTTTGGGGTCTCAATGCCTACGTTTGTAGTGACAGAACTAGCTGCAGCAGCATTAGCAGCAGCAGTAGTACTATAGCAGCAGCAGCAGCAGTTGCTGCTGCTGCTGCTGCTGCTGCTGCTCGTGTCTTTGCAGCAGCAGCTCGAGGATATAAATCTTCTTGAGCAGCAATAGGAAAACATTTAAGAAAACTCTAGGGTTTATATTTTAGTGTTTAGGGTTTAGTGTTTAGGGTTTAGGGTTTAGGGTTTAGGGTTTGAAGTTTTGGGGGCCCCCGATCCCGTGGGGCCCTGAGGGGCCCCCACTGCAGCAGCAGCAGCAGCAGCAGTTTGCGTCAGGGGATTTGTTGTATTTTTTCTTTATAAAATAAAAAAAGGAATAAAATAAATAATTTTTTTTCCTCCCTTTTGCTGTTGCTGCCTCTGCATATCCCACAACACTCGCAACAACAACAGCAACAACAGCAGCAGCAGCAGCAACAGCAACAGCAGCAGCAGCAGAAACAGCAGTATTTGTTGAAGCAGCAACGTGTGCTGCTGTATGTGTGACTTCTTAGTAGAAGCAGCAGCAGCAGCTGCTGCTCGAAGGATTGTCATGAGCTGCTGCTGCCATTATTATCAATAGTTTCCATTAGCAGAAGCAGCAGCAGCAGCAGCAGTAGCAGCAGCAGCAGCAGCAGCAGGATGAGTCCTACCACCACAACAATCAGCAGCAACACAGGGACAGCAGCAAAAGCATCATAATAAAATTGTCATTATAAATATCCCTATCAGCATCATAACCATCCCGATCCTAAACAACAGTTACCTCACCATCAGCACCATCAGCAGCAGCAGCAGCAGCAGCAGCAGCAGCAGCAGCAGCAGCAGCAGCAGCAGGAGGACGAAAATGTTTGGTATATGTGGTATGAATGGATTAGCAATTTGGGAGAATTTTTGGAATGACAAATTTAGAAATGATGGAAGACAATTTAAAGATAGAAGAAATCTATATATTCAATACCAGCATACTAATCATGTAATTTTTTTTTTTTTTTTTTTGTACTTTTTTTCCTTTTTTCTCTAGTTTCTTTAATCAATTTTATTTATTTTATTACTTATTTTACTCATTTTATTATTCTTTATTTATTTACTAATTTATTTTTTTTTTTTATCTAATTAATATTTAAGAAATCTACATATTCAATACCAGTATACTTACTAATCACGTAAATATATATACACTTTTTTTTTTTTTTGTACTTTTTTCCTTTTTTTCTCTAGTTTCTTTAATTAATTCTATTTATTTTATTACTAATTATATTCGTTATTATATTCTCTATCTATTTACTAATTTATTTTATCTTTTTATCTACAAATATACAAGAAATCTGCATATTCAATACCAACATATGAATCACGTAAATATACACCTTTTTTTGTACTTTTTTCTCCTTTTTTCTTTATTTTATTTTATTAATTTTATTTATTAATTAATATATTATTAATTAACTGTTGCTGTTGTGCTGTTTGTGCTGCTGATTTTGCTGTTGCTGTTGCTGCAGACGGAAGTATGTTTAGGACGAACACGTGTTTGCTGCCAACTAACAGCAGTACCAATACGTTTGCTGCAGCAGCAGCAGCGAGCAGCAGCAGCAGCAGATGGTCGTTTAGTGGTTCGGGTAATATTTTCTCCATCTGCAGCAGCAGCAGCAACAACAGCAGCACCAACTGCATCTACAGGAGATGCAGCAACAAGAAAACAGCAGCAGCAGCAGCAGCAGCAGCAAATTAAACAACAAGAAAGACAACTAGAAATTGAATTAAAAAAAATCCTCAAATTTGGTTCTGTTATATCACCAGAAGCCCTAGCTATTTCTGCTGCAGCATGGGTAAACCCTAAACCCTAAACCCTAAACCCTAAACCCTAAACCCTAAACCCTAATTTTTATTTTTTAATTTTAAATAATAAATATACTAATAAATAGATAATAAATAAAATAGTAATAATAATAATTAATTATTTTATTTATTTATTTATATATTTATTTATTTATTTATAGGCATGGTGTCTATCTGCTTCCCTTACTGTTCTTACTCTTGATGGTAATGCATTAGATGCTGCTGCTGCTGCTCTCTTGTCTTCTTTATTAACATTTAAGCTTCCTAAGGTGGAGGCAGCAGCACTAGATTTCCCGCTGCTGCAGCAGCAGCAGCAGCAGCAGCAGCAACAGCAGCAGCAGCAGCAGATGGATTATGTTCCTCTTTGTCTACTTTATAAACCTCTTGCCTTCTCCTTTGCTTATGCTGTTAACGAAGCAGCAGCAGCAGCAACAGCAGCAGATGATGATGCAGCAGCAGATGCAGATATAGATGATGCAACTAAGCAGCAACTGCAGCAGCAGCAGCAGCAGGAGCAGCAGCAGCAACAATTTTGCTTCGTTGCTGATCCTAACGGAATAGAAGAGGCCATACTACCAGGCAAAGTAAGACAGACAAGCTACTGCAGCAGCAGCAGCAGCTGCTGCTGCTGCTGCTGCTCCTGCTGCTCCTGCTGCTGTGCTTGCCGTTGCTGCTGTTGCAGTTGCTGCTGCTGCTGTTGAATCTGCATTCGTCATATTCGTCCCAACTGCTGCTGCTGCTGCTGTTTCACCTCATCCTGCGTCTGTTTCCCCTGCTGCTGCTGTTGCTGTTGCTGCTGCTGCTGCTGCTGTTGCTGCTGCTGCTGCTGCTGCAGGTAGTGGTATGCTTAAATGAGGAAGGAGAGATTCATTTTTTACAGAAGATATCTGGGCCTCCAATTCCTCCACAATATCTACAACTTATTATTGATGTAAACCCTAAACCCTAAACCCTAAACCCTCGTAAACCCTCGTAAACCCTAATAAACCCTAATATACACTAATAGACACTAATAAACCGTAATAAACACTAATAAAGCCTAGTAAACACTAATAAACACTAATAGGGCCTAAACCCTAGAAGAACGCCAGCATGGAACTGGGTAAATGATTGTGCTGGTGCTTCTGCTGCTGCTGTTGCTGCTGCTGCTGCTGCTGCTGCAGGCAGCACAAGAGAGTTTATCTCAGACATTTGGTGTTCTTTATGATGCGCTAGCAGCACATCAGAAAGAGCAGCAGCAAATCAGACGACTCAATGCCCGCAGCAGGTCTGCTGCTGCTGCTGCTGCCGCTGCTACTGCTGCTGCTGCTGCTGCTGCTGCCGTTTTACGTGCCGCTGCTTATGCTGCTGCTGCTGCTTTTGTACCTGCTGTTGTTGCTACGGCTGTTGTAGCTGCTCCTGCCACCATTGCTGCTGCTGTCTGTATATCTGCTGCTGCTGCTGCTGCTGCTGCTGCTGCGGGTTTGTTATAGGTACCTGGAGGCCCCCATAGAGCTGCAGCTGCCAGAAGCGCATTCACTGCCGCTGCCATCAGGAGCAGCAGCAGCAGCAGCAGCAGCAGACCTAGGAGGCAACCCAATTACTACTGGTGTAGAGGAGAGCTTCATGGAGGAAGCTGCAGCAGCAGAGCAGCAGCAGCAGCAGCAGCAACAGCATGAACCTGCAGCAGCAGCAGCAGGAGCGACAAAAGCAGAAGCAGAAGCACCAGCAATGGCAGCACCCGCATCTGCTGCTGCTGCTGCTTCTGCTGCTGCTGCTGTTAATGGTGCTCCTGCTGCAGCAAACACAGTAAACGTTGCTGCTAATGTGGCAGCAGCACCAGTAGCAACCAACGTTGCTGCTAATGCCCACATGAAG